TATTGGGAGAAATTCCCCGGATCTAGACTTCCCCGTACGTTCCCGTATCGACAAAATCAATAATCATGCATTGAATGAGTTAAACAAAGCAAGCATTAAGCAAAGAGGAAAAACCCTAACTAATGATGAAAGAAAGCATAAATCTTAGATTAAGATGCAAGCACAAATTCCATATATGAGAGCTTCAAAAGATTACATTGATTCCCCCAACAAACATACAAGGTTTAGTTCACCATATTCATGGTGAACCTAGATGAACAATAATGAAAGAATGAAAGATAAAACCCTAGAAATGTGAAGAGGTAGCCGGAGCATCCAAGATCCTCCTTCAAAGGGGTGGAAGAGAGAGTGTTTGCTTTGTTTCTGCCAAAGATACCAAACCCTAAGACATATATGTCTTTAAATAAGACATAAAAATAATAGAAAACGGGTCCAAGCCCAAACAGATCATAAAATCGCAGAAAATTGGCCCAAAACTCGTATGGTTGACTTTTTCCGTATTCTGGTTGACTAGTTGACTTTTTGGTTGACTGGTTGACTTTTCTGATTCCATCTCTCTCCTTCTTCACTTCTTTCACTAAATTCACCTTAAAACCTGCACAAAAACACTGAAATCAAGCATAAACCAGTTTTCTTAAAATAAATTCTCTTAACTAAAGTAAATCACTTACTTAATGCTTCCTATAATATCTCAATTGGTTTGCTACGTTCTATTTTCTAAATAAAAGCAAAGGTTTTCCATAAACCTCTCTTTATGTTCTACTCAAGACTTGCACAAGTGACCACGTAGTCCATCAAAGAGCTTTCACCAACTAAGCTACACCACATCTTGTGAACTCATGCAAATTCTAATAAAAACATACACAAGTCTTATTTACCAGCTCTACATTTTCTCGGATTTTACATGTGTTCATATATTAATTAGACGAATCTAACATTAAATATTAGATGAACTTTTCGATATATTGATCATACGAATCTAGCAATACACATTAAACCAATATATTTATACCCTAATTTGTATTTATAATAAATATACTCAACGTATTTTTGTATAATTTATTCTTTGTATTTTTAGGAAGTTTATTCCATATATTTTTCACATGTTATATCTTTTTAATTTTTACAAAATTTACTCTTTCTTTATATATATATATATATATATATATATATTAACTTAAAAATATTATCATTTCTTTCTCAACTTGTAAATATCTTTTAATATAATATATCTTTAAATATGTTTTAATATAATATATATTTATTAACATAAAAAATACATACAAAACATCAATTCTAGACACAAATTTAAAACTAATTATCTCTTATAAAAAAAATAACAAATATGAACATTTTCACCAAAGTTACAAGCTTGTTAACTAAAGTTTAAAGTCATAAGTCTCCTTTTTAGGTTCATTTTAAATCGCAGTCCTTTTCCTCAATCTATGGCCAACACCCATTGACCATTATGATATTGCAAAATCTCATCTGCTCTCTGCAATGACTTTGACACATCATTAATTACAAAGAAAAACCTCATTTATTGATTATTATTTTAACTTAAAAAAACTAGGTTAAATTGGGTATGGCGTTTTTGTTATAGGAATAAAACTCCTATGCCATCTCTAATAACGATTGTATAATGCTTAATCAATAAATCAATCCAATTTTCAATTATTGATTTTTTTTTATCAATAACCATTGAATTATATAACACTATTGTGATTCTATAGAATTAAAGCATCGTTTTACATATAATTTAAAATTATGTAACCGTATAATTTAATATATATACTTTTTATATTATATATATATATATATATATATATATATATATATATTTAGATAGATAGATAGACACACACGAAAGAAAATGGTACCATTAACTTTATTTATTTTATGGGTGGATATTCAGTAAAGATGAGTGAAAAAATATCCACATTTCAAACTCACCTTATTGCTTTTAGTGAGAAGTCTTATCAAAACGTCAATCATATTAATTATTTCTGTAAAAATAAATCATATCAATTCTTAAATAGTGAAAATTAGGCATAATTTTTTTAATATTTAGTTATATAGGTTGATTTTCATTCTAAGAACATTAGAATATATGTTTAGAGATAAGTTTATAGATCACACAAGTACATATTTAAATTTACAAGGATTGTTTTTCCCATTTAGAATACAGTGCAGTAAGATCAAATTATTTCGAAAAGAAATCACTTTTGAATTTTATTATACAATAAATATCTTTTTTAATGTCCTTCTCCTAAAATATAATATCATCAATATTATTATGAGACTAAGTAAATCACTTACAAAAATATTTTGTATCATTCTTTATTTTAATTTTACAGTAGTAATTATTCTATCAAAAGTATGTTAAAGGAAAAAATGTAAGGAAATATAATAAATTTATTTTATACTTAAGATGAAAAATTTTAATTAAATCTTAAATTAAGCATATTAATGTACTTTTTCAAATTGAGAAACTGATGAAGTAAATTTTAAATCTATGGAACTAAATATACAATTTTTAAAATTTAAAAGATTAAAACAAAATTTAACGTAAATTTGAAGGATTAAAAAGTATTTTAGACAAAAAAAATTAAAAACACACAAGTTCTCATCTTATTTTCGTCACACATATAATTTGTGAAGTACACGTTCGTTAGTCATACTCATTAGTTCTTGATTATTAAAAAAATATTTTCTGAAATTAAAAAATTAACGAACTAAAACATATTTTAACCATTAACTCGTATAATCCAATTTATATAACTGATTAATTCAGCCTATCAAACATTGAATAGAATCGTATACTAGATAAAACTTTATTAATGTTTTAGAGTAGATATGTAATTTAATGTGTTATTTACTTTTTTTGTTTAAAATTGTAAAACTCATGTAAAAGCAAATTTCTGTTATAGAAATTAGGGTTAAATATGTTTTTAGTCCCTAAACTATTGACCGTTTCTGGTTTTCGTCCTCTTCTAAAGTAAGGTACAATTTGGTCCTCATTCTTTAGAAAAACTTTTTAAAGATTGAGGACTAAATTGTACCTTACTTTGGAAGAGGGACGAAAACCAGAAACGGTCAATAGTTTAGGGACTAAAAACATATTTAACCCTAGAAATTATAATTCAAGATAAATAAACATAAAATTCATTATAATCCATTAAATATCAAATAGATTTCATGGTTTTATAGTTTTCTTAATTGTACTGAATCATACAATTTAGAAAGAAAAAAATTAGATAAAAAATTAAATTAAATATACATTAATTAAACCACTTTAAAATGTGTTTTGAAAAATTGCGTTTGCCGGGAGTCGAACCCGGGTCTATTGCTTGGAAGGCAATTATCCTAACCGTTGGACTACAAACGCGCTTTTGATTTTGGTCATATTTTATTTATATTAGACTATTAAACTTTGATTTAGTAATAAAGTATAAACATGCAGTTCTTGCATTAATATGTAACTTTGAAAATATAATGATGCTAAGGTAGAATTTGGCAAAATATTGTATAAAAGGTTGAAATATTACAAATTTGGTGATTATAAAACATATTACAAAAATGGTACATCTTAGTTCTCATCAAAAGCATTTTTTCAAGATGGCATGTCAAATCTTACCCATTTTAAAGCTTCAATTTGTTTTTTTTATGTATTATATCATCCATTAATAATCAATATTTAAGTTGAAAAAGATCAAATTTGAAAAAAGTAAAAATCTAAAGTAACAAATAATGCAAAAAAGGTTTAATATTTAGTGTATGATCCAACATGATGATTATCTGTAAAATATTACATATGTGAAAAAACAGAAGAAGCAAAAAGACAAAAATATAGTTAAGTCTAAAGAGGAAACAAAACCAAAACGAGTGTCTCACACACTGTCACACCCTTTCTTCTGCTACATTTTCTACCAAAGCATAGATCACAGAAAACCACCACTTACCAAGAAGAGAAAAAATCAAACATGTGAAACAAAGAGTGTTTCCTTCTTCTAAGCTGTAGGTGCCTGCATGTGATGTGAGGTGTAACAATGAGGCAAAAAGAGAGTTTTTTCATCTCTTTCATTTCACAAAAACAATATTATAAGCACCTAACTCTCATCTTATTCATCCTTAAATCCACCCTACCTTTCTTTTCCCTGCATTCATTCTTTTTGTGCACCAAACCAACCAAACCCTTCTGTTATCTTATACACTTCAGTTTGTTTACTAGCTTTTCTTTTTGGTTCAGTTCAAGTCAACCACTTTTAACTGCACAACATCTAGAAATCACTTCCTTTTTTGCTCTGGACTCTGATTCTTGTTTTCCCTGCTAGACATGGGGGTCTTGTCCATAGGTTATTCTTATTCATCAAGTTTGCTCAGTAAACTCATTGAAGTGCCACAAAACAGTGTGTGGTACTCTTCAAGGAGGAAAACAAGTGTTGTGTACTGTCAGGGGGAAGGGAATGTGATCAAGTCCTCTGGCTTTTCTTCTGTGTTGACAGAAAGATCATCATTGGTTGGCACAGATAATACCACTGCTGCAACTCTGATGGAGGCAGGGAGCTTGGTCTTGTCACAAAATGTGAAAAATCAGGCAGAGATTGTTGTGAAGGATTTGATGCCTTATGGTGCACCAACAACATTGATAGGGTTGGAAGATGGAATAGGCATTGTCAAATTTCTCAGAGGGAAGAAGTTTTTCATTACTGGGGCAACTGGTTTTCTAGCCAAAGGTACGTATGTTAAATATAATCATTTTTGGAGATAATATGCTAAGGATCTTTAGAGTCTTCAGTAGTTTAATTGCTTTGACTATGATATATAGTGACATTTTGTTTGCTTTGATTCAGTTTTTATTGAGAAGATTCTAAGGACAGAACCAGACGTGGGAAAAATGTACCTTCTGATCAAGGCGAAGAATAAGCAAGCTGCTATGGATAGATTGCAAAATGAAGTAAGGTTTTTTAGAAATTCAGAGAAAAAAGAAAAAACTATTTTCACGCATAGTTACAAAAAGGGTATTTTAATTTCGCTTTGTTTCTAGATTTGTACATGAAATAGTCATGTTTTTGCTGTTTCTATATGATTCTTTGGAAATACAGAACAACCAGAAAATAAGATGATGTTTTTTGTAGTTTTGAATATAGGAATGAGTAGAAAATGTTGTCATGCCAACAAGCTCTTGTTTCTTCAGCTTTCATCTGTCAAAGTACATGGCTTCATTTCATGATCTCATTGATATTTTGTTCGTGTGGTTTAGATCATAAATACAGACCTTTTCAGATGCCTTCAACAAGTCCATGGAAAATCGTACCAAGCCTTTATGTTGAGCAAGCTAGTTCCTGTTGTAGGCAATATTTGTGAGCATAATCTTGGACTAGATGAAGATATATCCAACGTTATTGAAGAGGAGGTAGATGTCATTGTAAATTCTGCAGCTAATACAACATTTGATGAAAGGTTACCCTCTAATACTCTCCATAAGCTTCTCCACCAATGATAAGTTCTTTGTCTAATCATTGACTGATGTGATCAGATATGACACTGCTATCAACATAAACACCATAGGACCATGCCGTCTTATGAACATTGCCAAAAAGTGCAAGAAGCTTAAGCTCTTTCTCCATGTTTCGACAGGTAAAAATACAACAAAGAGCTTAAAAATCAAATGCATGTGCTGTGTATGATTTACATGTATATACCAAAATGAAAAAATATTTCTTGTAATGTTACAGCATATGTCAATGGACAAAGGCAAGGTAGGATCATGGAAAGACCATTTAGCATTGGACAGTGCATAGCAAAAGAAAAATTCATATCTGAAGTTTCACCAAAATACATTCCCACACTGGACGTTGAAGGAGAAATAAATCTGGTTTCAAATTACAAAGGGGATGTTGAAGACAACTTACTAGCTCAGAAGATGAAGGAGATTGGCCTAGAGAGGTATTCAGTGTCCGTATGAAGCTTTTAAACTGTTGTTGTGGCTTCATTGCAATCACATATGCTACAAAAAGTTACAGATAAATGTGACTGATGCAACTACTATTACTGTTGTGGATATTCCAAAAACCTTAAAATTACAGCCACAACTATGGTCGCAGACAGTTTATTAACAACTTTTGTCTTACCTTTGCAATTTTTATCATTTTGTGATAAGATCAAGAAAAACAGTAGAAAGAAACAGAAGGGTTCACTCTCCTATTTAGATTTTGATCTTAAAATTCAGAATATGGTTTGATTGTTGAGTTATTTCCAACACAGGGCCAGAAGATATGGGTGGCAGGATACTTATGTGTTCACAAAGGCTATGGGAGAAATGATGATTGACAAATTGAGAGGGGATATTCCAGTTGTTGTAATGAGACCAAGTGTCATTGAGAGCACTTTCAGTGAACCATTTCCTGGGTGGATGGAAGGAAATAGGTGAGTTATTGCCTCTTGCATTAAAGAAAAGTGAAAGAACTTGAGAACATTTGTATAAGCTTAAAAAAAGTGATTTTAAGATAGCAGAAAGTAATTTTCTTTTAGAGAACAACTTTTCAGAAGTTACTGTTTCATAACTTCTCAAAAGAATCTAAAATCTGATTTCCTTCTTCAAATTCTAATTCTTTTAAATGCTTGACAAATCCTTTCAACATGTTTCAAAAGTGAGACTTCTGAGAAGAAGAATCTGAACAAAATGTACTCTAAAATTGTCTGATATAACTAAAATGTGTTTCTTTCAATCCACCAGGATGATGGATCCAATAGTTCTATGCTATGGGAAGGGTCAGCTAACAGGTTTCTTGGTGGATCCAAATGGAGTGCTGGATGTAGTAAGGGACATTAAAGAATTAGATTATTTAAACAATTCTTAAACTCCATAGATTGATAGATAATACACAATTCTCAGACTAAATAAACAGTGCTTCATTTGCTCTCATCATAGGTTCCAGCTGACATGGTTGTGAATGCAACCTTAGCAGCAATGGCAAGGCATGGAGTGACCCAGAAGGCAGATATCAATGTGTACCAAATTGCTTCATCAGTGGTGAACCCCCTAGTCTTCCAAGACCTGGCAAAGCTTCTGTATGAACATTACAGTTCCTCACCATGCATTGACTCAAAGGGTAGGCCAATTCAAGTTCCATTGATGAAGTTGTTTAGTTCTACAGAAGAATTCTCTGGTCACCTGTGGAGAGATGCAATTCAGAAAAGAGGTCTCACACCCTCAAAGGGGAAGAAAATGTCTCAAAAACTTGAAAACATGTGCAGAAAATCAGTGGAGCAAGCCAAGTACTTGGCCAACATTTATGAACCATACACATTTTATGGTGGAAGGTTAGATATACTCATTTCATTTCCCACTCTTCAACTGGTAGCAGCACTAGTACTCAGATATGCAGAAAGAAAGAAAAACATTAATTTTCATGTAAACTTTTTGCACATATTAGAAACTAAAGTCTATAACTTAAGTAAAGAATCTTACAATACATAACAGTTTATGATTACATGATACTGCAAAAAATGTTACAATACATAACAGTGTAAAATAGTTTACTGATTTTAAACCAAGAACTGTGATGCAGGTTTGATAACAGTAACATACAAAGATTGATGGAAAGTATGTCTGAAGAAGAAAAGAAGGAATTTGGGTTTGATGTAAAGAGCATTGATTGGAAAGAGTATATCACCAATGTTCATATACCAGGACTAAGGAGACATGTGATGAAGGGAAGAGGAATGAGTAACAACCAGTAACTTACAAGTTCTGCAATGAAATCAATCCTTTTATTTATGCTGGAACAAACTGTACTAATATGTGCATTTCCTTCTTTCATTGAATCCATTAGGGTGTGGCAAAAACTACAACAAGGACATGCTTCATTATTTATACTGTAATTTAATAGTAAGAATAATCGAATCTCTGTAGAAGTTTTTCAAGTTTCAATCCTTAATACAAAATACAAGTCTAATATTTATAAAGCATAAATTCTAACTACCCATTACAATCATTAATTTTTAACTATCACTGAGCCTTGATCTTCAATGTTTACGGTTGATGGCATTCTAATCTTTATTTTCAAAATATTCAATATCTAAGTATCTTATTAAGATACTGTTTTATAAATAAAAAATAGCCGTAATTAAACACAGTTTTGCTTGTTGAATATGAAGGAATTAGAGAGTGGATAAAATACAAACATGAAATATAAAAACATTACTATTTCAGATGTAAAAGAAGGAATATATTGAACATATAGATAAAGTTAAAAGAAGGAATATATTGAATAAATAGATAAAATTAAGCAAATTATGTCTAAGATTCCTAGTAGAATTTGTTTAACATGTGATATTTAGATGCAATTACTTTTACAAGATATATTTGTTCAAGTGTACACTTTGTTGATAAAAATTGAAAATTGACAAGTAAGATTCTTAACTTTTATGTTCATAGAAATTTATTATGTAATTGTGAGTTTTTCCATGTAGGATGTTGTGCTCATACAATTTGATAGTTCAAGATGATATAAAGGTGATTGATAAAGCACTTCATAGTATTAGAGAGAATATTAAATATGTTAATCATAGGATGAAGAACTCTCAAATCCAAATATTGTGTTAGTGATGGTATAAATATGAGCATTGTTTGAGATTAGATGTGACTACAAGATAGAATTCGACCTATTTAATGCTTGAATGTGCAATCATATACAAACTTTTTAAATTCTCAAAGTGGTTGATAGAAATTATAAAAATTGTCCATCTTCTTGAGGGATAGGATAGGAGAGAGAAAATATGTCAATTCTTAGAACCATTTTATGATATTACAAACATGATCTCTAGTTCATCTTATCTCACTTCAAACTTGTATTTTATACAAATTTGAAAAATTCAACTTATCATTGAAGAGAATTTGTTGAAGGAAGATGTCACCTTAAAGGATATGGCTTAGAATATGAAAGAGAAGTTTCAAAAGTATTGGAAGAAGTATAGTATTGGGTTAACTTTTGAAACTATTCTTGGCCCACGACTAAAGGTTGGTTTTATGACGTATTGTTATAAAAATTGGATCATCATACCTATGTAGAGAAAACATAGAAAGTGTTAAAGAAGTTCAAGAGGTTGTTTAAAGAATATGTAAAGAACTTGTCTATCTCTAGTGTTTCTTTTTCCTAATCAACTATTGAATCTATTTTGATGTGCATTTGATGCTTATTTAGGTATCATTTTATACCTAACGTTCATTGTTTTCATTTTTTTCTAGTTTGGCTTTGATAATTAATATGTAATGCTAGGATTTTAAAACATACTAGAATGAATCAAAATCTATCGTGGCAAGAATGAGATAGATGCTTATTTAGATGAACCAACAATACAGGATGATCAAAACAATGAAGATTTTGATGCGCATTTGATGCTTATTTAGGTGTCATTTTATACCTAATGTTCATTGTTTTCATTTTTTCTAGTTTCTTTTTGATAATTAATATGTAATGCATTATAGGATTTTAAAATGTATCAAAATAAAAATGTGTCATTGGCAAGAACGAGATAGATGCTTATTTAGATGAATCAACAATAGATGATGATGAAGACAATGAAGATTTTGATGTGCTCAAATATTGAAAGACTAATGAAAAAAAAATGTGTTATATTATCTATAATTGCTCGAGATGTGTTTAGTATTCTCATTACTATAGAGACATCATAGTCAACTTTCAACAAAAGTGAACGTGTACTTTTAAAATATAGAAGCTCCATTATTCTCGAACTTGTGCAAATGTTGATTTGTGCTCAAAATTAGCTATATGAATTTTCTGAAAATCCTAATGATAAGTTTATATGTTATTATTTTTAAAAGGTTTAATACATCATTTGGTCCTTAGTTTTTGGATTTTTGTTCAAAGTCGTCCTACGTTTTAAAAAAGTTCAATTAGGCTCCATATTTCGTTAAAAAATGTTCAAAATGGTCTTTTTGGCTTACGACGTTAAAAACATAACGGTGTAGTTGCCTGCGTGGCCAAAACTAAATGACGTGTAAAGCTTTTGCAATACATGACACATATTATATATTTGAATGTGTAAATTTAAAAAAAAATGACATCATGAAATGAGTTAAATCAAATTACCCTTATCTAAAAATCCTATCGTTATTTCTGGGTTTAACAATCTGGTGAAATTGGTCTTGTAATCACTATGGCGTGGTGTTTCCTTGAAGGTGAAATTTGAAGAGCGTATGTACGTGAGGTAAGTGTTGCTAACCCTATCCTACTTACTTGATGTTCTTGTTGGATTTGGGGGTTAGGGTTTGAGGTGGAAATAGAGGGTGGAGTGGAGGTTGAAAGTATTGGTGGAGAGGAAGTGGATGGTGGAGTGGAGGGGACAGAGATGATGGACTGGAGGTGGAAACTAATGGTGGAGAGGAGGTGGATGGTGAAGTCGAGGTGGACAGAGATGGTTGAGTGAAGGTGGAAACTAAGTCAGATATCATTCATGTGTTTTTCGTTGATATCCATTTGGGACCAAAGTACATAGTTTTAAATTGAAAAGGGGACCACATTACACAGTTTTTGACCAAAGGGGAAACTAAATTTAACATTACATATAAACACCTGAACGTAAACATTGAGTTTCACCTTCAGAGTACATGAACATAAACATTGACCTAGACCTTAATGTAAACATTGACCCACCTACGAACATCAACTTAAACATGCTCACATTGTCACAATGTTCACCGTAATAACAACACACACAGCTCCAACTAACAATTTTATCCTTTCTTTGACAATTTCACCATCTCTTTCGTTAATCTTTTCTTCATTACACCACTTGAAAAAGTTACAGTACATCCCTCTTGAAGATTCACCCTATTATTCACCAAATAAGCCACCAAAATTGATTTTTTGTGAATTGCAAATTGGCAATTAGGGTTATGATTTTGCACATGATTTTGTGAAGTGTGAACTGATATTTTGATTTTGAAAATTGCAATTGGGATTTCTGATTTTACACATGATTTTGCACAAACCCTAACCCTTTTGTTTTACCTAATAACTTCAACTTTTTAACATTTCCACCTACCTTGCCAACTCAATTCACCTCACCTTGCAACACAATCAAAAACTGTGTTACCAATAAGGAGTATTGGTAAATCTTGAAGAAATTTGTTTTGATGATGCTGCAAGAAGTTTTAGTTGAAGAAGATATTGGAATTATTTAAAAGCAATTTGTAGAAATTAAATATAGTAGGAAAGTCTTGTAAACTTTGTAAAACTTGCATTTTTAACTGCAATAATCGATTATGGAATGACAATAATCGATTATCACAAAGTCATCCAGGAATAATCGATTATCACCTCATATAATCGATTATCACATTTTTGAAAAACCTGTAACGGACTTGAATAATCGATTATCACTTACAATAATCGATTATTCGTGGCAGTTGAGACTTAACCTTAGATATTCAGAACAACTGGCTATATATTGGGTTTCTGTGAAGATCAAAATGGAGAAGTTGTTGAACAGAAGCTCTTGCAGAATACTGTTTGTCAGAGGAAGTTCTCAGAAGCTATAGTTCAAGTTCCCTTGCTTGGTCACGTGAACAGGAGGGGCTCGCGTGTCGTGTGTCGATAGTCGGAGCAAGCTCTCTTCGAGTTAGCAAGGTGCTCTGCCTGGTCTTGTGAATAGGAGAAGCTCACGTTTCGTTTGTCGATAGTCGGAGCGGTTCTCTTCGAGTTGTCAGAGTGTTCTTCTTCCGATTCGTTCATCGGAGGAAGGTTTATTTATTTGTTTTATTCACTATTCACTAGTGCAAAAATCACATTTTATAACGTACAAAAATGACCTATTATAACGTACAAACCGGGGACATAGTTCTGGGCGTTATAGTAGATCTGCGCATTTTATAACATAGCAAAAAAGTACGTTATAATAAATTCAACCTATTATAACGTAACAAATAAAGTACGTTATAATAGATTTAGCATATTATAATGTAGTTCTTTTTACCTATCATGTACGTTATAAAAGGTGGTTTTTTTTAAAAAAAAAAATTATGCTTACATTTTGACATCCAATCAAATTTCCTGGTATTATCTTTTTATGTAATCAATATATAATCAATATAACATGTATTATAATCAATTTATAATAAATAAACAAAATGAAATTCATTTCATACATTAAAATGTCTAATAATTTCCAGTTCATTAACCTCTAGTAACATTTCCGGTTCTTTCACATCATTTTCATCTAAACGAACTGTTGCTAGACTTGCTCTAGTGGCTCTATATATCTTTGATCCAATGGTGGGGAGGCAACAAACCAATTTGCAGCACCTGATCCACTGACGGGTGATGATGAACCCCTTTTTCTTCACAAGAATCAGGGAACTACTAATTTCACAATCTTCACCAAGTAAAGTATGAACTCAATATGTTTGATGCCTAAAGCAAACCTAAAAATACACACAAAAAAAGAGCTTGAGCAGAATGACAGTCACCTAGTTTGAACTCAATATAAAGACATACTAGAATAAAATAATATACTCAAGTAAATAGCCAAAATAACAATTAGCTCACAAGATAAAAATAGAAAAGTATAGTTTCAAACAGTTGATTTGTTAGGAATCGAGATATTTAACAGACAATGAGGAGTATAAAAAATCATCATAAAGATATAATGAAACACATGAGCTAACCTTATGATGCAAGGCATCACGTATGAGAGTAGCTAGTGGTAAGAGTGAATCCAAAACCTTGCTTCCACTCCTGTAGGGAGAGGATTTAAGGTGATGAAATAAAGGACCATAGCTATCAAATATTCACATTTTTATTTTCCCCTTTTCTTTTCAGTTTACATTTGAGGAAAGGCAGAGAAGGGTGAATGAGTCAGGGGTTAGTAATACATACTTGTTTACGGCATACATCTTTTCCTGTTGTTGCTCTAGCAAAGAAAGACCCTCTTCAAATTTTCGTAAGTGAAAGTAG